AAATAGGGGGGGACATATCTTATAGAGTGGATGTTCTTCTTGTTGGCTTGTGATATTTTTGGCAAAAGCAGCTGTACAGAAATATTCAAGAAAATTGTTTTCCCGACATTGTCAGTGACCTGCTATTACATATATTACAAGTAAACTAAATCTCTACGTCATGAGTGCATAATTAATTGATACTAATATCAAAAGTGTTATAGTCTGTTTGTTTGTTACGATTAACAAACTTAACAATTTGTCTTAACAACTTAATCGATTGGTAATTAAATTTAGCGTATATGTAAGTTTTTAGGGGCACAAAAAAGGACACATGGTATTTTGTATGGATATAGAAAAGAAAAGAAAAACTATGACCGAGCGTTAATGCCGATTATCTAATCTATATATTAATACGTGACGCAAAAACTTTGTATCCCTTTTTACGAAAATTGCGCGGACGGAGGAGTATGAAATTTTCCACACTTATAGAGAATATAGAGAAGGAGTGCACAATGCTAATATTTTTTTTAAATAATGCTTAAAAGATATATTAAATCAATAAAGATAACATTACATACGCTACCGTGTATTTGACGCACACACGCATGCATACTATTTATTTATTGACAAAACTTTGTTCTTGACGTCTGTGGTCAAATTGTCTTTATTAATATTTTTTATAGTGTAATGTTGGCGAAATTTGTGATTATAGAAGTATAAAATACAATCATAATAGTGTAAAAACTTACAATTCCAATTAATTATAGTCAATTTTCGACTACTGCGGGACCTCTAGTAAATAGTATAGTATTGCATCAGTAGACGCGTCGTAATATTTTGTTTTGAACTAAATACGTGCGTTTCGAGTCGGATGCGCGTCAGAAATCTACATACATTTTTCAACATAGTCGAGGTCAAGGTACCTGGATCTATTTTCACGACATAGCATTGAGTAAAAATAGAAAATGCAGTCTTAAATCATAAGCAAATTTTTTTAAGTACAGCATAACCGTAGTTAGACTTAGGCGTCAAATTTATTGATGTTTAACGACGAATAAAAATCAAAATTGACAAGTGAAATTGAATAGGTGCCTTTATCTAATCCTTCCATAAACCTAAGAGATAGATAGATATCTAATCCTTTTATAAACGCTCTCTAAAATACAGCAGTGGGCCATTTGCATTGTGAAACGTACCGATGTTGACAAGGGCGAACGCAGATAATAGTATTGAAAGTTATTCGACTGATTTGATAATTGAAATACTACTGTTTCGGCACATCATGGTTTCCGAACAATGCTTGTTCCTGATAAATGGCGAATCACTCACCAATGTCTTCTTTCTTACCCCGGTGACAATTTTGATATTTTTTTTACATATAAATTGAAGTTATGTAAAATGCCAGTTTGTTTATTTCAAATAATTTCAGAAACCAAGTCTTTGAAGTTGGTCGTAATTTTATAGCTCTACTTTCTTGGCTAGAACGCCAAGTATTCCTTCTGAACTATTTCTAACTTTATCTCTTTCTTCTCGACTATTTTTTTTTATCAAACTGAGCGGCTTAGTGTTTTGATTATAGCACTAGTGCCACTATGATTTCTATGAATATTTAGACAGCCAAGGATTTCGTGATTAAGGAGTGACGATGAATTTAAATCCATTCATTTTAAAAACGACAATATTTTATATTAAGCAACCAATATAAACGAGTTCTAGTTTTGAGCAATGAGTTTGATCTGACTTTTGCGGACTATTAATACTGTATGTTTACGCAGTTTCTGCCTTCATTAGGTACGTTCGTTTATAGTAAACGTCGTCACTCTGGCGCCTAGTTACATCATTCGATTGGAAAACTCGACGCGTCTGAGAGGCCTAAAGACCGGCCGCGACTAGACTTGAAATGAATCGATCACGGTCCTAGTCAGGTCACGTCTCTCGAGGTGACTTTCAAAACTTTAAATTTACAGTAAACGACATTAATGAGCGGTGCCGGTGATACGCCGTTTGTCCGCAGAATCTCAGTCAGTACCGCGCGAGTGCGGTATGCGTCCGCATAAATATTCATGTACACTGCATCCACGACGTGTGAGCCAAGCCCAGCGGAGTCAAAGGTGTCCCGATGCGCAATGCGCGCTGTCGTCAGGGTTGTCCCATACTCCTTTATAGATATTATCTTGATAAGTGGATCAAACTGATGACTGTTACAACGGTATATTCGTTTAGAAATAGGTCACACTTTACGTAGGGAATTTAGCATTCTACCTTGTATAAGATTTGCAGAAATTATGATCTTATTATAAAGCCCAAAATAGCATTAAGAGATAATTGACTATACATTCATACTTACATTTTTTTATGCATTCTAAGTGAGCCTTGGCACTTTTGAATGGTTAGAAGATCTTACATGAATATGGTCTATGCGGTTAAGATCAGAGCCACCTCCAGCTTCTGTAATTATATTCATATCATTCACCTAAAATAAACAGTATTCAACTTCTAATATTTTTATTACTCTCGCTAATTTCTATCTAGGCTTCTTAATCCCGCGTTTACGAAGAAGCGAAGAAGCGTACTCAGGTACGATATTTTGGACCAAATCCACCTCGGGAGTAACAGAATAGATTTGTGACGTATTATCGATAAATCATATAATACCAATGGGGCTCGGAAATATAATAATACTAGCTGTACCCATCCGCTTCGCTGGGCATTTAAAATTAACATTATTATTTCTCACCCCCACAATATTCTCATCATTAACGCCCCCGCAACTGGTGTAGGGAGTTCAACACTCATATAAATATTAGCCTATCCATTAAGTACATGTATTCTCTACATGGATACCAAGTTACAAGTCAATCGGATGCACAGTTCAGTAGTTATAACGGAACATCCGTAAAAACCACTGTGTATTAGTATAGATACTGCAATTTAATTAATTGTCTAGATTGTGTTATATATTTATTTTCAACCCTGAATAACGTTCTCCGGTCGAATCATCTTTCAATTCTAGTTCTTTGTTGTGCTCGCAAATATCCTAGAACCATTCATCGCCACGTTGACGCCATTTGCAAATAAATTTAGGGCTGTCTCGGGTAGCTTATGAATTTACGGAGTGAATTATGAGCGGTGGCGTCGGAGCGTGCCAGATTACAATCTGCTTTCGGATAAACTCGCTAGACTCGTAAACAGCTCTTCTCGTCACGTTTACTGTAGTTACTATGCGCTTGTTTATCTTGTTAGTATGTCGTCCGCTACCGATCATCTGATAACGCGATTTATAACATTTACTCACTTCAAAATATGTTGAATACGTTTATTTCTCGAGTACCAACCAGGACTCCGTGTTAACGCACTTTCGGTTAGATTAGATTAACTTATTAAGTAAATTATGATACATATTGAAATAAGCAACGCATTTGCAACGTGCTTGGGAACACGTATACCGCGTTCGCCGTTGATGGGAGTCACTTTTGAAAGGAGAATCTTAATTAGAAGTAGCATCTGTCTGAAAAGTTACGTTATTTTTTATTTATTTTTATTGCTTTGTTGGGTGGATGAGCTCACAGCCCACCTGGTGTTAAGTGGCTACTGGAGCCAATAGACATCTAGAACGTAAATGCGCCACTCACCTTGAGATATAAGTTCTAAGGTCTAAAGTATAGTTACAACGGCTGCCTTACCCTTCAAACTGAAACGCATTACTGCAGAAATAGGCAGGGTGGTGGTACCTACCCGCGCGGACTCACAAGAGGTCCTACCACCAGTAAAACGTTGACTTATTGTTTCTTCTATAATAAATATAAAAAAAAGTTAATTATTTAGTAATGTGACAAAACAATCACGCGCTTTCGGTATCTTAGGTAGAAGAGCCATTTGTAATAGGAATTGAATTTTTTTTTGTTATTTGTATTTTTTCTATGTATTTGTTCGTTGTTTAATTCCAGGTGGGTCGGGAGCTTGTACGTTAGTCATAGTTAAAGAAAAAATCACTCGTAGAAATGTTGGCAGACTATTGCGAGATGAAAGCGATACAGTTGTATCGTAAACTATGATTTATTACCGATTCATAATGTCCCGTAGCGCACTGAATTTGTTTTATTTATCGCTCGCATCTGATTAAACTGATCAAAATTATTTTGCCGCTTGAAATGTCAGTGCTCTCTCTCTCTCTCTCTCTCTCTCTCTCTCTCTCCCTCTCTCTCTCTCTATTTCGGTCTATCGTCGAACAAAACCAACAAGAAAGCAACGTAAAACGCTAATTCTAATGTCGCCGTCTAGACATCCATGTGATTGAATATTATTTCTGATCTAATCGGTCAGAATCGAGGGGTCAGTGAGGTCTTACGAACAGGCTTCCGTCGCCAATGAAACGTCGCTCTTGATCAATTGCTTGATGAGTCTTGGACCACCGGTGAAAGTACCAATCTCAATTTAGCGTACAGGGAAACGATGGCATTTAAATCTATTAAATTTAATTACTTCCTGTCCGGCTACATCAGACGGAATTAATGTTGAATATTAAAATCATCCGCGACATTGCGAATTTGCATCAAGGCGCATATTGTAATAATTCGTTTTGATGTAATAAACGTATTTGTATAAATGTTAATTTGCTTTTTATGAGTTACTAACTGACCCGGCAGACTTCGTAGTGCCTCAATCGATAAATAAAAGACCGACGGGGGACACATCCAAGGAAAAACAAAATTGTTATTTTCATTTAATTCCGAGCATTTTCATATTTATCTACCTTTTAAACCTTCTCTGGACTTCCACAAATAATTCAAGACCAAAATTAGCCAAATCGGTTCAGCCGTTCTCGAGTTTTAGCGGGACTAGCGAACAGCAATTCATTTTTATACATAGAGATTAAATTAGAGAGAGATAGATAATTAAGAGATACCTTTTAGAAATCTGTGTATTTAGAGCTGAATTCAATAAAATCGTCTTAATAATGATTTGTTACTTTTACGATTTGTTGTTATCTAAACTAGAATCAATGTTTTTTTCTACAGACCCAGACCTTGTGCAAGAAGATATGCCCGGAGACGTGATCATTGAAGAAGCAGATCACAATATGAAACGTAAGATTTTTTTATTTTACCATATCGACTATAAGGCAACCGATGACGACGCTAAAACGCCTGACTTAATCTAAATGGAAAAATAAAACGTTGAGTATTTGTATAATAAAAAATAAACGAAATATATATTTACTATATAATTAATTGAACAATTTCACGGCCCGCCTGGTGTTAAGCGGTTATCAGCGCTCATGGACTTGTCAACGTGAATATATGATGCCTGTTTGTTCCTTTCAATAAATTCGTACGTTTAGACGCTTTACAGCTAATATAAATAGTGGTACCGACACATTTGGGCTTACATACAATATATCCTCCCACTGACAAAATCATCGATATTTTGGTTTTAATATAATTAAAGGATGCTTGCTATTCCTTCATCGAGTAAATCGTTGATAATACGCGAACAGGTGGTAAATACGTATTATTAAATACGTATCTTACATAAGGGTTTGAACACCGTCACTTCGCTAGTCACTTCGCTCGTTATGAGTAAGTACACTGTCACCTCTTGGACCACGATTTTTTACCCTTTAGTAACCCCCAATATCATCAACGTGGAATGTGAAACGAGCATCAACTTTTTTCTTTTCCTACCTATGCTTATCAGCATCAAAATCGCCTTGAGAGGCTATTTTAGCTTCGCCCTAACATGTAGGTGAGCTCACGGGGCTCAACCGGAGTGTTGCTAACACTGACCCTAGCAAGAGCAGTGCTCCGCAGAATCTACCACCGGATCGGAAAAGCGACCCACTGAGAAGATCCAGCGAGAAACTCAGTGGACTGTGTCTGTGGGTTAATTCTAACGCTGGTCGAGTCCTTCGTCGAACATCAACAACAGACCTCGCACATCAGTCTTTCCAATCATTTTACATGTCGCGTAATGTAAAAATGTTATGGGTAAAACATAATTATGTCATTATAACAATTTGTTGGTTAAGGTTATTGCAGCACTATAATATTTCCTAGTTTTAGACAGATCTTTCAGTACACTGTGCTATAATAAAATGTGATTGTTGAAGTATAAAACATAAATTTAATTACGTCGGAACAACTTGGAACATTTATTTCAACATTTTATTACTAAATTACTAAAGAAACTCGGCCACGGTCAGCTTTGGTTGTAGAGAAACATTTGAAAAAAAAAATTGCCGTTTATTAAAATCAGTCGCGTGCCATTTAACGCACGTTGATCATCGATCTTTGGCAAAAACCTTCTCAAGCACGTGAACAATTGTAGGATCTGTATAAATTTTGAATGCAATCGAATTAATTGAATCGTCGTCGTGGTTAAAGGATAAGACGTCCGGTGCATTCGTGTTGAGCGATGGACCGGTGTTCGAATCCCAGGCGGGTACCTATTTTTCTAATGAAATACGTACTCAATAAATGTTCACGATCGACTTCCACGGTGAAGGAATAACATCGTGTAACAAAAATGAAACGCGCAAAATTATAATTTACGTTATTACTGGTGGTAGGATATCTTGTGAGTCCGCACGGGAAGATACCACCACCCTGCCTAATTCTGCCGTGAAGCAGTAATGCGTTTCGGTTTGAAGGGTGGGGCAGCCGTTGTAACTATACTTGAGATCTTAGAACTCATATCACAAGTTGGGAGGCGCATTTACGTTGTAGGTGTCTAAAAAAAATTACAGTAACGTTAAGTTCGCCAAGTACAAATAACTGTAAAGCTGTCGTATTTTTTTCAGATTTCGCTTCGTTTTTGACCGGTCGATCTCCGCTTTGCGTGCAGCGCGATGACATGACCGGCGTGCCAGTGGCTCCGGGTGTTGCCGCAGCGAGGTTCACGTTCCGCCGCCGTCACCTCTACTGGTCCGTGTTGCTGAGTCCGTCGATGAAAACGCGGCCGCGGGCCCTCGCCTTCTTAGATCGTCAAGGTCAAGTGCTACTCGAGCAATCCTTGAAGAAGATACCCGGCATACACGCAACTTACGAAGAGAAAACGGATAAGGTGTGTTTTTTCTTTTTTTTTCTTAGTAAATGTAATATATTTGACTAGTGGCCCGCTCCGGCTCCGCTCGGGTCTTTAACAAAAAATTCAACAATATTTGATGGTGTTTTATTTTTAAAAATAAAATAACACTTATTGCGGCATAACTATAATAGTTAGACATATGCTGTCGCGACAGTTTTTATATATAATAATGTGTTCTACAAAGTCGTAGTACATTATTTTTTTCTATCATGAATAGTCTTTACAGGGCACGCGATGTAAAGAATATTTAAGGTATTTTTTTACACCTTTACACCAGCCTCCTGGCTGAGCGCTTGCTCGCCCACCTGTCCTGGTAAAGCTGGAAAGGCCTCCAGGCCACCAGTAATCTCTCAGACATAATAAAAGAATCTTTTATAATTGAATTTTTTGCTCTTAGTCACTCACAAAGTCCCGCGGTATCTGCGGACAATCTTTGAATCGATTTAGACTTCATATTAATTTTGGTATTCTTTTATCATTATTTTTAATTTGCTAAGCATTATTTTTTGAAATTTTGAAAGATAAAGTGTTTGATGAGACAAGCAGATAAAGCCAAAGCCGCTGTTTAAATAAATAATAGTTTAAAAAAAACTAACAGAATACGCTTTTAAAGAAAATCCAATAATAAAATTAATAAGTATACCAAATTTCGAGCTAATCCAACGTTTTGAAGGGGGTCAAAATCATGTTCAAAGATTCCCTTACATACATACGTCTGAAGCTAATAAAAGCGCATTAAAATAGACAAGAACTTATGTTATTGGTTGTTTACCCTGAGTTCACAGTGCTTCCTCATTTCAGCTATGCGGTGTGTGGCGGCGAGTACCACGCCAGTACAAGACCTTATTACGGGACGGCGATCTACACGTTGCTCTTTTATGGGGAGACGAGACCAGCAACTCCATAGACAGCGCTCTGAGTGGCAGAATCGACAGGTAGGTACGGAAATCCAAATATATCACTAACAAATATTTAAGACCGTGGTCACCAAGACAGACAGTCTTGGATTAGGTAGATGTATATATTTTAACTACAAAAATAATCGTTCAATAATTAAGCCGCTAAATTCAAAAATATGCGTATTCACTGTAACATAATGCGGACTCGCATTGATAGGTAACGCAGAATCCTATCCCATTCATTCTTCAACAAAGCCATTTCAATGCCACGTAATTTCGATAGTAGAAACCGCTTAACTTCTCAATCGAATAAGATTGATGAAGCGATATCTAGGAATATTCGCTGACGATTATAAACGATTATTAACCGTATGATTAATGGCGGAAATCCCTTGAATTGTTTAGTGTTGGGCAATACCAACGGATGTGGGGCCATATGGTATAGAATACCGAGATGTGCGATTGTGTTTTTTTTTCATGTTGAGACGATTTAAAGTGGACAGTTCCTCGATTAATCCAATTTATTTATTGATACATCAAATCGTAGATCCGATGATCTGTTGCGTTATTATCTAGACGAAGAGACTGGCTAATCAATTCTTGGAAGTAGTTGGTCCACTTACAATGTTTTTTTAAAAGTGTTTGTTAATTACGGGCTTTACGACCGCAATATATTAATGGAACAAGTGCCATTCCCGGTATCAGGAATCTAGATTTTATGAATTTAACGAACCGTAAAACATTAATTGAAACAATCTTGATTAGTCATTTTGTTTTTGTTTTTTAATATTCAACAAGTCAAACCTAGTCCGGTTTGCTGGCTGATGTTTGATATGATTTTATCAGATCCTGAATCCAGATTCATCCAGAATCCAGATTACCCGAAAATTTTATAGAAATCGGTGTCGCCATTTCTGAATCTAAGGGGAACATACATACATAAATACACCGACTGTGATATGTATATAGCGTAGATCGGTAATCACGCTAACGGACATAGACAACAGAAACTGTCTTGACAAACAACTGTAGTTAGGGAGATGAGTACATGGTTTTATGTTGTTACACTTTCTTGAAAGTAACGGCTATTACTTTTCTATGAACCGAAGTGTAATAAATAAATAATAATACTGACCTATTACTTACTGTATCGACAAGACATATGATAGGTAGGAAAATATTAATCATTCAACGCAGAAGAATTGACGTTGGAAAGTAACTGTTAATCTCATATTTTCAGATACCCAGCGCTGTCATCAGAAATGTTCACGTCTTTATTGGAACCCGAGAATCCTCCTACCACGTTCAGCCAGGCAACTTGTCGAGGGTCTAAAGATTTAGATCACGAGGAAGGATGGTGGGGTGGTACCGCTGTAATCACATCGGTCGCCGGCGCAGCTCCGAGCTTGTACATGGCAATCGTTTTCAATGGAATTTTTCCGAAAACAGTGAACACGTCAGACCTTGTCAGAGTTGTTCTGACTTTGCCGGACAAAAATCAGACTATCATTGATCAGGTAATTGTTTTAAGTGACCGTGTTGCATGGTCGGTTCACATTAGTTGGCGATACTCGTTTAAAGATAGATCGTTAGTGGTAGAAGTTATAATCAGAAACAGCATCTATGAAAATCTCAGTATAAAAATTTCTTGGGTATTACATCAAATAATTTGGATAGCTGAGTTTCAAGGAAGGAAGTTAGAAATATACAGAGAAATAGTAAGTCTGTTAATGTAAAAAACGTGATAATTCACAGAGGAATATTTGAGTGATCTTAAACTTAATAATCTTGGTCGATTCGAGAATAATTGCTATAAATTTCAGGTGCAGAGAGTCGCAAAACCAAATTACGATTTCAATTTGCTCGAAGTATCTACTCCCATATCGGCTGCTGAGTTACGATCTTTAGCGAGGGGACGCCTATTGCTCGGCATTGAATCTGTTGAAAATCCCCAAAGGCGTATTTCGGGAAGTGTGAGACAGAAGGGAACATGTGAACTTTTCCATGCACCTTTGGTGGCTGAGAGAACACCGGCTGCGCCATCTCCTGAAGGATTGGCTCTGGTCTACATTGACAAGGAAGGATCTCTCGTCTATGATATACAGGTAAGGTTTTATTTCAACTAATTGCTCTCACACCGATCTTATGTGTTAAATTTAATAAAAAATAAATAAATAAAATTGTAATAACATTGAACAGCTCGAATAAAGTTTAATTATTTTAATTAAAGATTAGCTAAGCTCCATTTTTTGTAAAAGTAAAGTATAGTAATTTATCAACCCTATCTTAGATTTTAAGGGTTTGGCAAAATAATTGCCCTAAACTTTAAGCTTTTGGGATTTGTTATGACGTTCCCTTGTGTTTTAGTTATCATTTTCAAAGACCGGCGTCTTAAATTCTGCAATAGCTTTTTGGGGATGAGAGCTGGGATTGAGGATAAGAGGAAGATAAATGTACAACCTGGGCTGGATAACCATTTCCACATTCTATACCCTCATTAAGATGACACAGTCACATAGTTTGTAAGACATAGTTTTCATCTCCTCCATGCTGAATTGATAGGATACGTCGTCCGTCTTTCATCTTACATACATAGATGTTGCCTAATGCTGAAGCGTTTATTGTAAGCTTTTGTAACGTTAGATTGTATCATTTAATTTATTAACGTATTCTGCAGATGGAAAACGTAGGTGTTGTTGATCCGAAGATAACTTTGGTAGAAGAACAGGGGAAGAGACATTTGCAGGTTGAGATATTGGATACAAGGGTCGGTGTTCTCGCAAGACCAAGCGCCCGGATCTTCCAACCACTATACGACGAACAACTCGTAGTCCATATTGCAGGGGATGCCGGTGAGTAACATTTTTTTAAAGATATTTTAATAGCTTAATCTATCAGAAAGAGGAGAAAGTCTTGAGTCTTTTTTGACTTAGAAACATAGCATAAAACATAAAAATAACTCATAGTTCGAAGTGCTAAGTTTATCAGAGGTTACCACAGCTACCGCCTATTTGGTAGACGAGGTTGAGGTTTTAATAGTATTATGTTAAGGAAAGTTCTATCCTTCAAACCGGAATGTATAAGTGCTTCATTGTTACTATGAGGGCGTACAGATACTGTGCTCGAGACTGTCATTTATTCAGCATGTCAACTGTTTAGCGTACATTGCGTGCTATATATTAAAGTGCAATATTCATTTGGGAATACCTATTGTTTGTAATTCCATTCTGCCTATTTCGGCCGTGATGATGCAGTAATTATATATTCCGGTTTTATGGTTAGGAGAGCTGTTGAATTTAGTCATTTACGCCGTGAGGTATCTGTGTGCACAGTACGTTAAGTTAAAGGTGCGTTAAAAATGCGTAAAAGTTAGTTAATATTTGTATGGAATGGGGGCGTTTGCGTGCGTTTGCCGCTAGGGGCGCTGTTCCAACTCCATTCAAAATTGGCTTAACTTTTACGCTATCGAGAACGTTAAGAAACTCGCACTAAGCACACTGGTGACCAAAACGATATTGATAGTGAATTCGTTCGCAAATAATAAACAAACTAGATGATGACCGAGCTTTGTTCGTTTTTTTTTTGATAACGCCACCTTGTTGGGTCTTTAAAGCGGTTAGTTGCCCTCAATTAAGAAAAATAGTATTATTATTCGCCAATAGATGACGGAAAGAGTTGATTATTGAAAGCACGAATAAAAAAACATTTTCTGAAAATAAATCGTAGCTAGATCGATTTATCGCCCCCGAAATCCCCTGTAAATTTTATGAAAATCGTTGGGGCCGTTTCCGAGATTCAGATTATATATAAGTATATACAAGAATTGCTCGTTTAAAGGTATAAGATAAGATGCAAATGCCTTAATAAGTAATAGTGTTATTGAACCAATCAACAGGTCCTCCGATTCTACGAGGGCGTCTTACGTCTCGTCTAATGCCAGATGCGGCTGGTTCAGGTCCGGCTTTGTTACGACGCACGACTCAGGCTCGTGTTCCCAATAACATGGCCGGACTTGCATGGTTGTCCGTCGATTCGCTATGCGGACTGTATTACGAGGTAACCATAGAGAACAGCGTAATGTAATGTAATTAAAACCACTTTTACGAATGACCTTTCGAATACGTCTTTTACTGGTGGTAGGACCTGGCTGAGTCCGCACGGGTAGGTACCACCACCCTGCCTATTTCTGCCGTGAAGCAGTTTTCGGTTTCGGTTTGAAGGGTGGGAAAGCCGTTGTAACTATAATGAGACCTTAGAACTCATATCTCAGGTGGGTGGCGGCATTTACGTTGTAGATAGACTAGTTGTAGAGTCTATGGGCTCCAGTAACCACTTAATGGTGGGTTATGAGCTCGTCCACCCATCTAAGTAATTAACAAAAGTTTCCACGAGTTATACCAGTGCCTACCGACTGTCTTAATGTAGTGGGTTTCATCCTCTTATAGTACTCACTGTTTTCAATATTAATAATATGCGTTATAAATTAATAAATGAGGTCGTCAGTGTAGAAGTGGCCTAACCCACAATTTATCATAATCATGCTTATGTATATTGCTATGTATATTGTAATTTATTTAAAATATATAAAATTTTGATGCAAAGCAGGCCTATCCATAGTTTCACCTATAGATAACAGATGACTTTGTAAACATTATTTTTGCGTGTATTGTTTTTTTGCCTACTCAAATTCAAATTCATGAAAACTTAAGCCTCATTGCTCCATAATAACTATGGTAAGCTTAGGCCACATTTTTTATTTTTTATTTCTTAGATGGGTGGACGAGCTCACAGCCCACATGGTGTTAAGTCGTTACTGGAGCCCATAGACATCTAAAATGTAAATGAGCCACCCACCTTGAGATATGAGTTTTAAGGTCTCAGTATAGTTACAACGGCTTTCCCACCCTTCAAACCGAAACGCATTACTGCTTCACGGCAGAAATAGGCGGGGTGGTGGTACCTACCCGTGCGGACTCACAAGAGGTCCTACCACCAGTGATTACGCAAATTATAATTTTGTGGGTTTGATTTTTATTACCCGATGTTATTCCTTCACCGTGGAAGTCAATCGTGAACATAATTTGTTAAGTACGTATTTCATTAGAAAAATTGGTACCCGCCTGCGGGATTCGAACACCGGTGCGTCGCTACATACGAATGCACCGGACGTCTTATCCTTTAGGCCACGACGACTTCAAACCACTTTTGCGCTGACGGCCTCAGATAACTTTGTGGTTTCCTATCAGGCAGCGGTCACGGGTAGTTCTCGTTCACGGTCGACGTGGTGGCTGGAGACGCACGCGGGAGGCGAGGACAACGCCCGCGAGCTCGGCGGCGACGAAGGCTGGGTGTTAGAGCCCAGCGCTGCAGAACTAGTGGCTATCCATATCGGAGCCGCGTTCCTAGAGTTGCGAGCACAGGATAATGTCACGGCGCTACTGCGCACGCGCGCTCCCCAGGTAAACTATATTACAGGTTATTATATTATAATACATTGTGTATTCATTGTATGTATATTTACGGATATATGTATGTATGTATGTGTATATGTATTTCACTGGATTGGTACACCACGCGTAGTTCGTTTCCAAATGATTCTTGTCCACCTGATGGTTGTCTGGAAGAGATCGCTCTTAGCAATAAGACTGCCAATTGTACTTTTTTTGTATTTAATGTATCGCACTGTTTATTTGTTTTTTGGTGTACAATAAAGAATACTCTCTCTCTCTCTTTCTCTCTCTTTCTAAACTATTGTTAAGATTTGTTTATTTATTTACACGACCAGTTGTACCCGTCCGCTTCGCTGGGCATTTAAAATTAACATTATTATTTCTCAGCCCCACAAAGATTCTCGTCATTAACGCCCCCGCAACTAGTGTAGGGAGTCCGATACTCAATAATTATTAGCCTCTCCATTAAGTACATGTATTTTGTACATGGATACCAAGTTTCAAGTCAATTGGATGCATGGTTCAGTAGTTATAACTAGTAAGTAGATTTATATATTAGTATAGATTAGTTATTTCATAGAGCTATATATAATTATCTATACAGGGTGAATCAGAACCGTTAATGGATAGGGAGGCTGATGGTAGATCTCGATAATACGTATGATAAAAAGTATTCCTTTTTTTACTTTATGAAAATTAAATAAAATATATTCATAATAAGCTGGAAATACAGGACTTCGGGAGAACGCTGCGTACAGCGCTTTGAAAGTATCACGAAATACAGAACTTAATAAAATAGTCAATTCTAACCCAGTTTCGTGAAAAGGGCTTGCATTAAAAAACGGGATTCTGCTTTTCTCTCTACACGCCATTTATATATAGATGAAATGTATATATGTATATATTAGGTTTAAGCTAACATTTAATCAAATGACTGTACATTGTCTGATATTAACAAAATTTGTATTTTTTGACTGCTAATCACGGAAAAAGGCAAGGTGAGCTTTTGTTTCTTTAAACAATATGTAACATAAATATTCCGTCTTTTCGCATTACAATTTCCAAAAATATTCGAAATCGAGTTAATATGCGGAATCATTTGGTATCACCAGTATCTTTCTCATAAATACTGTCAAAAGAGCGTAATTTAGTTTTAGTTTAATTTTAAGGTTAACCTATATTTTGACTACTATTAACAAAATTAATACATACTCTTATCTTACTTTAAAAACAGATAATGTAACTGGTAAAAAATAAAAAATTAATGTTGGAAAAATTATTACTCGTAATATTTACGAGTAACCTTTAAAACACTATCCTTAGTAAAATTAGTAAGTTTTGAGATTTTACAGTTTTAATGCGAGAACACGATTTGTATCAAATTCTTGATGCTTCTAATCTGGTTACAGATAAGCGTGCCAACATCGTGCCTACCCGCAGTACCGGGTCCTATAGACAACGAGTTGAGTCCCAAGTATCCACCTAGTCCTTCTGCAGATCAGCTTTCTGACTACGGGCTATATCGATTGAGTGTTGGATATTGTAAGCAAGGAGAAAAATATTACAAGCTCGGGGAAATTTGGACTGACACTGAGGTACGTGGGTCTGAGTTATTGAATGTTGCAGAAGAGTACTCCATCCAAAGTTCCTCCTCTTATAAAGTAGGTTAACTTTGTGATTTGAAGTCGAAGTATTCATTGTAGAAAAACGGAAGTTACAAAATTTAAACAATCTTTGTAAAATATTAATGTGACCTGTTCGTACTTTGCTTTCTTTGTCTTTTTTTTATTGCTTAGATGGGTGGACGAGCACACAGCCCACCTGGTGTTAAGTGGTTACTGGAGCCCATAGACATCCACGACGTAAATGCGCCACCCACCTTGAGATATAAGTTCTAAGGTCTCAAGTATAGTTACAACGGCTGCCCCACCCTTCAAACCGAAACGCATTACTGCTTCACGGCAGAAATAGGCAGGATGGTGGTACCCACCCGCGCGGACTCACAAGAGGGCCTACCACCAGTAAAACTATCTATCAACTGCCCGACGTTTCAAGCGTTTAGGATCTTTTGTGTCACGTCAATAACAATGTTTAATGTAATGTTGCAGATTTCGTAATTTCCACTTTACTTTTCAGACATGTTCGAAATGCGTGTGCGTGATGGGCACGCCGAAATGTGAGCCGGTCCAGTGCCCGCACGTTAACTGCTTAGTACCAACCATTCTACCGCCGGGACATTGCTGCCCAATTTGTACAAGTAAGCGTGTTTATTTTTTAAATTTTTTCAACTAGTAACATCCAAATTTTTTTTTGTTGCTTAGATTGCTGGACGAGTTCACGGTCCAGCTGGTGTTAAGTGGGGTTATCGGAGCCCATAGACATCTACAGCGTAAATAGCGCTACCCACCTGGAGACATGAGTTCTAAGGTCTCAGTTTTGTTATTATTCCTTCACCGTGGAGGTCTATCGTGAACATTTGTTACTTAACAAATGTTCACGATAGACCTCCATGATGAATGACGAAATACGTACTTACGTATTTCGTCATTCATCATCGTAAATTAAGTACAAGCAAACAAACAATATAATAAAATATCGAATGTATGTTCTAAAATCCTTACTGCTATAAATAAATGATTAATTGTCTTTAAACCAATAAATAAAATTTACCAATTAGCTATGAGCAATCTGTATAATTAAATCTACGTTATAGTTAAGTACAGTATAGCTACATCTGTTTGAGAGATACCGTGATACAAACATAAGATGTAGAAGATTTAAGATAAATTACATTAAAGTTAATACATAGATAGATAACTTATAATACTTCTCTTTTCCTGTTGATAGCGAAAAACGTGATGTGGTTTTAATATTGTAGTGAATTGTTTTAAATTAATATCAATTTTTCTTTGGAAATTGAAATTTTTATATTTGTAAACTGTATGGTATATAGTATACTAGTTCAGGACCTAGTATTTTTTTTCCTATGCTGATAGCCTTGAGAGGCTATTTCAGCTTCGCCCTAACATGTAGGTGAGTTCACGGAGCTCGTACCCGGAGTGTTGCTAGCACTGGCCTTAGCAAGAGCAGTGCTTCGCAGAATCTACCACCGGATCAGAAACGCGAGCCACTGGGAAGATCCGGCGAGAAATTCAGTGGGCAGAACCTAGTGTTAAGTGGTTATTGACTACCGCTGTGGTGATTTTACAGCGTGTACTTACAAGTTACAACGTGAGATATGAAGTCGAAGTTTCAACTGTACTACTGCTAAATTGCCGCCCCACCCTTAAAATCAGATATAGACAGGATATTTTGTACTTATCGGTACTATCGGAAAATTTAAGCATTGTTTTCTTTCATGATTTGAATTTTCAGCATTTTTTTTTATTTGTTTTAGATACTACTTCTGCTGCATGGTCAGAAAATGGTAGTTGCGTTTTAGCTGGACAGAGCTATGCTCCTGGCTCCTCCTGGCACCCGTATCTAGTTCCAGGAGGTTACGACACTTGCGCGATATGCACATGTAATTACATCACGAAGCAGATTCACTGTCCTCGGGTGCAATGTCCTCCTCTGAGATGCAGCGAGAAGGATGCCTTCAGACCTGACAAGAAAGCCTGTTGCAGGGTTTGTCCAGAGGTAAGGAAATACAGAATTACTGGCGGTAGGACCTTTTGTGAGTCCGCGCGGGTAGGTACCACCGCCCTGCCTATTTCCCCCGTGAAGCAGTAATGCGTTTCGGTTTGAAGGGCGGGGCAGCCGTTGCAACTATACTGAGACCTTAGAACTTATATTTCAAGGTGGGCGACGCATTTACGTTGTAGATGTCTATGGGTTCCAGTAACTACTTAACACCAGGAGGGCTGTGAGCTCGTCCACCCATCTAAGCAATAAAAAACAAAAACGTGTCGTAGTCATTGTTGAATGGCTTCATAAGAACCTTTGTTGGTTTTGTAATTACTTCGGGGCATTTCTACACAAATCACCATTGTACGTATATTTGGTATGAAGTGGTCATAGAAGATATAGGAATGTCTTGATCACCTTGTAAGTAGTTGAACTGGATCACTCCATTACATCCGTATTACAGGTTCGTTTCTTGTGTGGAATATGTACTTTACGCTGATAATTAATAACATAATATATATTTATTTAATTAAAGTAAAAATAGATCAACATCTACACCAATGTGTATAATATTTTCATCTGAGAATTATGTTTCCACAGAATAAAACTAAGAAATCAGATGAGGAGACACCGAAGGATCAGGGAACGCCCAAGACTGCGGAGGAGATATTAGCTGAAGGAGGCTGTCGATTCCCGGACGGGCCGCTACCCAACGGCAAGGAAGTTCATCCATCCATACATTCTCATGGAGAGCAGAGATGCGTCACGTGTCGGTGCAAGGTACCAGTGCTATCTTACTTAAATCATCCATATTGTTTGATTTTTTAATTTTTAATTTTTACTAATTCTATACAGTAAGCTGTCGTAAGACATTCAACCGTAGTTTTGAGAAAAATAATTTCGGCGGTGTATGCACAATGTCCAATGACATGTCCAAATTAATTAATCTACAGTCGATCTAGTAGATCTTGAGGCAATCTTCTTCTGGGTCTTCTTATAGTCATTTGGTTGTCCATTAAATGCTTAGCAAGGTTATTCGGATGGGCTTCCAATCTTACACAATAGACGCTCGATGGATTACTTCATCTTTGACTTTTCTTGTGGCAAGTTCATATTGTTTGATTACAAATTGATATATCTGTTGTGAAGGTACCTTGTCATATTTGTACTTTGTTGTGTTTACAAGATTTGTATTTTTTATAGCTTACACGGTGGCTCAGGGTGAATGGTAGCATTTACGTTATAGATGTCTATGGGCTCCAATAACCACTTAAGAATAGTGGACCGTAAAAATATATATAGATTTAAAATAATATATATAGCTCACACCTGCAAACTTAAACACAGCCAAAGAGATTTGTAGATTTTTTTAAATATATTTGTCGGAGGGCTTAATTATTAACACCATTGTCAGACATCGTAGGGACGAATAGGGTGATCGAGCTAATAGAAATATACACCAATCACGTTTGTTTTCTTAGAACTATGTATTTAGAAATCTTCTCTTATGACGTTAGCAAACGAAAACTAATGAAAGTTGTTAGGACGGAGCCACCGCTCTTCAAGAAGGCTGGTCGGAAAGTGTAATGGCGTCTACGCGCTTCCGTCGGTCGGTCTGCCGTGGCTCTGTCGTGGCACGAAGTTAGCCGAGCTCCGACGATACCGCAATCGTGCTGCCATCTCTCGGGAATCTTTTTTTTTTATTCCCCTTGTAGGCAGACGAGCATACGGCCCACCTGATGGTGACTGGTTACCGTCACCCATGGACTTCAGCAATGCCAGGGGGCAGAGCCAAGCCGCTGCCTACCGCTTAATACTCTCCACAAGCCTCTTTTAAAGAAGGACATATCATCGTTTAGCTACCAAACTAATGACCGTCTCCGACATATTATTGAATGCCATAATATATTTTTCAAGGACGGCGAAGTGACTTGCGTCCGTAAGCGTTGCGGGCGTGCGGCGTGCCAGCGGCGGCGACGAGTCGACGCGTGCTGTGCTTGCACGCGACACCGCCGCCAAAGGCACCACCCCCCACCACCGAGCTGAGCCTAATCCCACGCAAACCCAAACACACACACACACACACATATATAGACTGACATATCGTTATATACTTGAAGGGAAAATAGGATTCGGGACGGACACAAAACCATAAACTGATTAGCATCGATTCGAAAAACAAAACCTTTAGTTGCTTGTACCTATAAGTTCTAGTGTTGTTGGTATTTGTGAACGTCCCTATTAGATGTCGTGCGACGAAACCAAGCGACCAGTCGACGCGCGACCGCGAATCCTTTGTCCGTATAACATGTGTAAAAGGTTTATTGTGTAACTGAGATTTAATTTGTGCCGCCTATCGGTTTTCGAGAATGTTCCGGATACGCTGTACGTATCGACGAGGTCAGCCATTCGGTTTGGTCCTTTTTCGAGGTTTGAGGGAAGCGGACGGTCAGGAGGGTCGGCCGCGCTACTCGACGGAGGCAGCCAAGTTAAAAAACGACGTTGAAGCTGAATAATTACTTACCCACCGGTATTTTAATTGGTATTATTAAAAAACAAAATTACGTAGGCGCATTTTTGCATTGGATACTGATCAGACAATGTTTAGTCGCGTAGGACTCTTCCGCTCGGCCGGCGTGGATGCGTTAGCGCGGTCGATAACAGATGTGCCATATTTTCTTATATTGTAAATATAAATTATAATAATAATTACGTGCATATTTATTTACTATACGGAGCCCGGGTGCGAGTCGCGTGCGAATCATCACAAACATCTATATTATTTGTAGCCTTCCGCATTTGCTTTAGTTTTGTATATTCATTAGAAAAACGCAAGTGTAAGTTTATTAATCTATTATTATTATTATTAATTGCTATCTATTTATTTAGTTAATAGTAACAATCTGTGTCTAACTGGTAGATATTTTGATATATTTTATTGTTACTTAGTGGTAAATAAATCATATATGTACGAATAATTTTGCTTAATGAGAACGGATTGTCGCAATTTGCGATCTGCCGTCGTTTATCTAAATACATATTTACATAAATGAAACGGAAAGTGTACATATAATTAATTACTGAAATATGTTTTAACCTTGTATACCTACATTACGCTATAATTTTTTTACCGATATAATTAAGCTTAGTTTAATGGATTCCGCGACAAGTTCTTTTTAATTACTTTATAGGTTTTAATGGTTTAGAAATGTAATAATTAAGGAAGCTAGTCCTAAAGTTTCGTTGTGATGGAAACGTTTGCCATTTACCTAACGTATAATTAAATTCATACGATAAATGCTATATGGTAATGAATGACCTCATCCAATATGCACTGTACCAGAAAAACAATTAGCAATATAGACTTAAAAAGGTGAACCGACCCGGCATCTTGTATATGATGTCTACGCTAATAAAATGCTTTAGCCGTATCTATGAGACTGTCTATGTTGAAACTCCGATGCCAATTAGGTCACGACCTTTTGCTTTATTTATCCACGAATAAAATGATAATTTAGAATACATTACCAAAAAATATATTGACGTGTTTAATCCATGAGAGTTCCGTCGCTGTGGGTTCTAGTCCATCAAAATTGTGACGAGTTTGTATTATAGTGTTATTATTATTATTATTGGCTATTATACGTTATTTATGTAACGATTAACGGACATCTTTTTAGCGAGATTTTTTATTATTTTTTTTTGTATTATCTAACACGTGTAGTCAACAATGGCTTGCGAATAACACAACTAATAGCCGGAAAGAGTACTATGAAATCGCTTATTGCACTTTTATTATTATTCAAAGCGTAGATTCACTTTTGAATTGTATACAAAGAACATGAAATAAAAAAATATTATATAAAAAGATTGTTTTGAAATTCCTTCAACATATCAAGTTTTCATAAAATGTATGTTTATAATAGTTTTTGGTTTTAGGCACATTCAGTCAATAGTTTGTAATTTTATCGAATGGATAAATAAATTACCTGAGAACACGTTTTGTTGTATTACTTTAAAACGAATATTATTATGTTTAAAATATCGTATGCGTGCGAAACAGTGGCTTCGGTTACTGTAGAAAAATAATGAATTGTTTAAGACAGTAAGTAGGAAGTAACCTTTGTCACTTCCTCATGTCTTAGTGTAGACGAAGAATGTTAATAGTCCTTATGACTTCCAGAAACCGATTATAAAATTGTTGTCCTTTTACCAAATGAAAAAGGTTGCATTTGCAAAAGGTTTTATGTCCTCCATAATCGATAGTGCCATATTATTTTATAAGGAACACGGTATGATTTTAAAATTGACAGAATTCTAATAATAATAATAATAACTGGGAAGGCCCTGCCTATTTGTGCCGTGAAGCAGTAATGCGTTTCGGCTTGAAGGGTGGGGCAGCCGTTGTTACTATACTTGAGACCTTAGAACTTATATCTCAAGGTGAGTGGCGCATTTACGTTATAGATGTCTATTGTCTCCAATAACCACTTAACACCAGGTGGGCTGTGAGCTCGTCCAATTATCTAATCAATAAAAAAAAAGGCACCGTCATCTGGCCCCAACTTAGGATTCTCTGTGTTATGGGTACCAGAGACTGATAAACATACTTATATATATTTAAATACATACATAGATAATAAACACCAGTCAAAGCAAGTAAACCTGTTCACACACAGTGCTTGCACAATGTGGGATACGAACTCACGACCTGCGTGACAGTCAGATCCACTAATTACTGCACCACCGAATCAGTCGTAGTTCAGTAGTAGAAACCGATTCTAAGATTGTTGTCCTTCTAGCAAATCAAAAAGTTTGTACTTAGAAAAGGTTTCATGTCCTCTATTATCCGTGACATATTCTTTGAAAAAAAAAAAAAAACTGTATGGTTTTAAAAATTGACAGGATTTTGGTTTTTATTAATGCGAATTGTAAAATATAGGTACGTCAATTTATTTCATTCTAAGTAAAAAATAAACAACAATACATAAGAATCATCAAAGCTTTTATGTTATTATAAAATTATGGTGTATTTCACACAAATCAGTAATGCGCTTTTTTTTTCCTGATAAGCCAAGCTGATAAGCCTTGAGAGGCTATTTCAGCGGAACCTTAATTAGTAGGTGAGCTCACGGAGCTCAAACCTGACGACGTTGCTAACACGAACCCTAGCATGAGCCGTGCTTCGTAGAATCTACAACCGGATCGGAAAGGCGACCCACTGAGAAGATCCGGCGAGAAACTCAGTGGGCTGTGTCTGAGGGAGTAATGTACAAGAGTCTATTTATGGTCTTATACATAAACAAAAGTTTTTCGAAGCAATAAAACAATAGTACTCAAAGCATCAACCGATAGTAGTGTGTTAAACCGAACGCTTGATAAACTTGTTTATTCACGGTATAATACAATAATAAGTTATCTCAGTTTTATAAGCCACTTAAAATTGCTATATTATAAACTAGCTTTTGCCCGCGACTTCGTCCGCGTGGAATAGTTACTTTGGCATAACGCTAAATGTTAGCCGCGACTTCATTTACGTCGAAAGTGAAAGTATTTTTTAATAATAGAATGTTAAGGAGCTATTTAGGGTACCAAAATCACGCTTTTTAACCGACTTCAAAACAGGAACCTATCAATTCGACCACCATTTTTTATCTATGTATGTATGTTCACCGATTTCTCGAGAATGCTTGAACCGATTCTGATAATTCTCTTTTCTATTTTTTGTTCGAAACGGTAGACTTCCCGAATTGTTCTGTAATCATCAAGACCTGATGATGGGATCCTGGAGAAATCCACAAAAATCTATAATTTTCAAAGCCTATCTTGAAGTGATTTGGGTGTTTCTTGTTATTGTTCTTATTCTGTGCCGGCGCGCACTGGCCGGCCGGCGCCTTCTAAATCAATATTACGCGCTTGATCATTATTTTGCTGCGATGTTATTTTAAAACTGCGATATCTTCTCATACTCATTAAAATACTCATAGCGAGATGCTCATTAAAATCAAGTGTGCGTAAATTTATTTAAAATTAAATACTTGTAATGAATAACGTATTTATAACATATAGAAGAACACCTTCACAAATAATGATTTATTTTAGAACAAATTTGGTAAGCATATAAAACGTTATAGTGAGACAACCTTAACATATAGACATATGGTGTCGCAGACTTTTTTAGATATTTTAAAGGGGAACAATTCTGTCACACATTATTTTAGCGAAACTTTAACCGTTTCCGCAGCGCACGCAGCGGAAGCTCTCAAAAGGGAAAAAAACCGGATTTTGAAACATTTTTTTATTGGTGCTCTTATCTTAGCTTGATGTTATATAGCTTATAGCCTTCCTCAATAAATGGGCTATCTAACTGAAATACTAACTGACACTGAACTAACACAGAAATAATTTTTCAAATCGGACCAGTAGTTCCTGAGATTAGCGCGTTCAAACAAACAAACAAACAAACTCTTCAGCTTTATAATATTATGTATAGATATACAACACCCGAGTTCAATCAGTTCAACCCAGACAGTTAGTTTTTATTTGGTTCCAAGTTTGATATTTTGACTAAAAAAAAAGCACATTATTGGATTGATTGGATTGATATTTATAGCCTTCATATATTATTAGGTACATTACTCTCTATTAACTAACTCATTAAGAATAAAACAGTAATATGCATTTTCGAAAATTGAACGATTCAATCTGCAACACGTAACGTACAAGTAAAAATGAAGATTATTAAATTTATAAGGAGGATTTCTTCAAAGCGATCAGTGTACCTGCCACAGCGTCTGCAACAGCATCGGCGACTTGTATTGTAGAGTTGACACCCATAAGTCCAATACGTAGGGTTTTACCTACAGTTTGACCGATGCCGGGAAATATTAAGATATTGTATCTGAAAATGGAAAGATAGTATTGAGGTTGATGCTTTTAAAAAAATATTTGAAAAAATGTTTAAAAAAATGTTTGAATAATTTTAAGTAACTTTAGGATTGGTTAGTGCTCAAATCCCACAGACATGTACAAAATTTTCTAATGAAGTTCTTGCCACATGTTGGAATGTTTCTTACTACAATTATTACTGTAACTGTGGATGAACGCAGTGGTTCTTGGTAGTATGGATCAACTGTGCTACGGTGGCGGGCGATGATATGGTAAAAACGAGATGATGGGATCATCTCAAACAGTTCCTCAGAGCACTCCCCATGGAACATACGGTACAAAATATAGAGAGGACCGAATTCCCTCTGAAGACTCAGAGGCTCCAAAAGATCTGTGAGAATGGAATTATCGTCAATCTGAACGGCCCTTTTCTGAATGGAGTCAAATCAAAGTAACTGGTATTTGGTTCCCCGGCCCAAAGGTGGAGCAGTACTCCACGCGAGGTCAGATTTTGTTTTTACAAAGTCTTTGCCCATTTTTGATATCAACTTTGACCTCCAAAAGATTCCGATATTGGACATTGCATAAATCGTCGTTCCTAAGAATCGCGGAAGGTTGCTGGAACACTGCTTGGAATTGCTCTGCTATGACGATATATTCCATTCAATTCGATATATTCCATACCCATCGAGCTGTATCGTCAGCTCGACGTGTGTGACGTCACTGTGACGTCACTGTCTACACGGCACAGCAAACCATTGCACAACTATTGGCGTTTATGTACTATGTATGAATAATATTAACTTACTTCTCTCTCATATATTTAGAGAATTGTAAATAATCATATCCTTTGGGCAAGACTACCGTTGTGACGGTCATTAAGCGATCCTCCGGTTTCGGTACAAAGGTCTTTAAGGAGAGCTGTTCTACTCTTTTGAGGAAGTGTTTAGTGGTTGCAGCATGTCGGGCCCAAGATCTGGGTAAAGTCTCTTTGATGACTTCCTGCAGACATTGCCGTAGCGCCCACAATAGCGGAGAACTTAGAGTGTGATGATATCTGCAAAATGTTTTAGATTATAAACGAAAAAAAAACAATTTCAGCTTACGTAGTTTTTTTATTATTATTATTTATTTTTTTGGCTACTCGTTTAATGTCCCGATTTCAATGATTGCCTAAGTAAAAGTAATGAATTCTAATGTTATAGAATGTGTGTCCGTAATCCAGACAGTCATATATATTTATTTTATGTTAATGTTGCCCATAAGAGAGTTAGATTTTTACTAGTGAAATCCGGTCATGTTCGGTTGTGACTATTGCTAATTTGTCTTTTTTGTTACTACTTGCGTGCCACTTCTCGTATGTTGGTAGTGAGTATTTAATACCATAACTGGAGAAATAACGACAATTGTACTAAGTTTCATTAAAAACAGATGAATGGTTTAAGAAAACAAAGAGAACAATCGTACCTCTACAGATATATACAGTTTTATAGATTACGAAAAATAGGAGAAAATGGTCATGAACGCTCATAATGGGCAGTCCCCTTCACATGACATTAATAATGCTAAAAGATGGAAAGGTATACGAAACAAAAACACATCGTACATTTTGACTGCGAATACTAAATATCTTTCACAACGATAGTGTTTCCGACTGGTCATTCAACTCAGATCACGAAAGCCGGCTTATATAGTCAGGTTGAAAGCAAAGGGGAAATCTTCCATCAGCCGGGTGTTTTTGCTCGACAGACCGACCGTTCAAATGTTGTTGTTCGATACATGTACAAACACAAGCTTATTTTGAAACATCGGTAGTGCGATATATGTAGCTTTTAACCGTATTTCTTCATTTTCACCATGGCTATACATGATAGATAATGGTACATATAATGCAAGGTATAAGTCAAGACTACTGCTAATTAATCAACAAATTGAACAGCAATGTCGCGACAGTATAAAATACTTACACTCTTGTACTACCGTAACAATTCCATTGTTGGCTCAATAGTTTGACGTCAAAATAGAAAGGAGGTTGATGAGTTCTGTTGTTGATTTTGTTCCTGTAAATATTTTTCAAATTCACTGAGAAGATCCGGCGAGAAAATCAGTGGGCTGTGTCTGTGGGTTAATTTACTCGCCGAGCCCTTCGTCACAAGCGACGGGTTGGACAAGAACGATGAGAAATTCGACAAAAATCACTGATAACTCATAATGTCCTTTATGTATTACAATTTCACTTTTGGTTTTAATTGTCATAATTTTTTGCTAAGGTTCGAAAAAATATAATATTTTTTTAAAATTGAAGCCTTTGAGTAGTTAATAAGCAATAAAAGAAAAACGGAAATCGTTTGGCAAACATAGGAGGAAATATTACTTGAATGTTTTGTCTTTCTCACTTTTGAATATTTGTAGATACTTACAGAGCACGATCACTGAAAGCTACAGGACTGATGCCAGCTGGGCCGCTGAAAGCTTTTTGGGTTGAAGTATAAACCGCGTCTATTTTCCAATCGTCCATAAAGAATGGTACACCAACCAGCGACACTACCGTATCGACCAGCAAAAGGGTGCCATATCTGAAAATTTTTAGGCATTATTTTACTATCTATTTCGGGCACGCAAGTAAGCAGTCCATCTCATGTCATGTTTCCGAAGACTACATATACCATATTGTGCATATGGCTATCAGCTTTGAAACCAGATTCACATCAATCATAATTAGTGTAATAGGACTGCAATATGCAATATGAGAGTACTTAGCGGTGGCAGCGATTTGGGTGGGCCCCTGGCTTTGTTATTTCCATATTCACATGCATATATCAAAATTCTTATTTATCCACTTTTCTATTTTCAAGAGAAAAATAATTAATATTCAAGTGTCACTGAACTGTACAAAACTTCGGCTAAGCTAGAATCAGTTACGTAAGCATCTATTCATATTTGCTAAATGAGCATCTTAAAAGAATAAAAAAGTTCAAAACTTCAATAAATTTTTGATTAAAGAATATTTTATGAAAACAGGACATTACGTCTCGCTCGCGAGGTTCAATGTTACAAATATGACATGGAATGGTGACGCGGCGCTTTCATGTTGCCCCGCATTATATCTGTGTTAATCCGAACATTTTGCCGAGAAAGTCCCATTCGCTCCGGTATTACAGAGGGCGAGAGTTACCGGCGTGAAATGTCGCTTTAACGAAAAAAGGCGGATGGAGATCTTTAAAATTCAAACAGTAACTTTTCGAAAAGTTTTTATCTCAAATGTTCTTGGTATTCGGTGTATGCTAATTGCAAACAGTTTCTAATCCATGCAAACAGTTTCTAATGTAAATAATTATTATGTCATGACACCATGCAAATCAGAAAATACATTCTATACTATTGACATTAATTGCATGATAAAAAATAAATGTATTATTATGACAAAACCTAACAAATACTATTTAGGTAGCTACAATTTTAGACAAGTAGCAAACTCGCTACATTATTTTTTACATATTTATCTAGCCATGAATTNTAATTAAATTGTTCGGTACCTATGTCTCAACTTCGGGGCTCCACTAGGAATTCAATAGCTTTTCTATTAAAGTGCGCGTTTTAAGATTTTGAATGTTTAAAACCGACTTTTACGTAATTTAGCTAATTTACCTAACGTAAATTACTTACGTACTAAAATATGAGTGTGTGTTTGTTGAATGATTGTTATTGGAATATCTGATTTAGTTTTTACTAATTAAGATACGTTCATATTAATTTAGGAAGTAACCGTAGCGTTTTTTTTAACGCTGGGGAATCCATTTACGGATACCCGGTCGAGGGGGGTAACAGACCGGGTTATGTCGGACTCCGGCGCCTCCACTTCCCCCAATTCCTCGCAAGAGACTACGCCTTGAAAAGGGACTGTAGCTCGGATCTCTTTCTATCTTACAAAGCCAGTTTCGTTTTTCGAAATATCTTCCACTAGTAAAACTATTAATTAAAGAAAGCATTTTTTTCCTACCTGTTCTAGTAACCTCAAGGGATTATTCTAGATTCGCTGAATTAGTAGGTGAGCTCACGGGGTTCAAACCTGATGACGTTGCTAACATGAACCCTATCAAGAGCCGTGCTTCGCAGAATCTACCACCGGATCGGAAACGCGACCTACTGAGAAGATCCGGCGCGAAACTCAGTGGGTTAATTTACTTGCCGAGCCCTTCGTCGCAAGCGACGGATTCGACGAGAACGATGACCGGTGCTTGGGGTAAAGAAAGCAGTAATGTTTGATAATATGTATTGTTTTTTGAAACTGGTCAATGTTCTTAAAAGTATGTATGTATTCTATTCATACCTTTGACATAATTCGCCCACACCTTTCAGGTTTTGTACTGTTCCAGTAGATGAATCGCCGTGGACTATAAACAAAGCGGTTGGACGGTGTTTTCTTAGCTCATTTTCTAGCTGTTGCAAACTAAACGTCTCGTTCATCGGAACAGTCGTTGTTATAGTGTTGATTCCTAAAACATTTATATTGTAAAATTTTTATACTAATTTTAGTTGTAGTAACTGTTTTAATATGAGCACTTGGTACCCTGTTGGTACCAAGTAAATGTGGTAAATGTTGGTAAATGATGGTATTGTGACTGCAACATATTTTTACGCTGCACATTTGCAGCACCTATTATGGATACTGATTAAAATTATATTTTCTTTAATTTGACGCTAATGATTTTTTCAAATATGGTTTTGGTTTTTCAAACGTGGTACCAAACATGATTAGGCACCACGGTCCTGTTTATAAGTATCTGACGCAAACAACACAAAATTTTATTGCTATAAGATATTATAACAAATCTAAAATAAAATAAAAAATACCGTATCTCTTAGCCATTTCAAGAGCACGCTCACACCAAAAGCCCCCCTTGGCTACCAGCAAAGTTTCACCGGGTCCGACTAAATTATTTATAACAGTCTCCATACCACCGTGACCAGAGCCACTGAGGGCGAGAACTGTGTCGCAGTTTGTCTGAAAAACATACTTCAACCCGGCGCGAATGTCATCTAGTACCTACGGCATATTTTATGTTCGTGAAAAATTGTGAAATGAATGCTTACAGTAAAAGTTTGGCGTTGTTTTAAAACAGTCAACTGCAGTTAAAACTGACTAGTTATTGGGATTCTGAATCGAGGATTTTGTGTACAAAAGTATCGCATTTTGTACAAGATGTAAGTGACATAACGCAGGTCGCAGACGTTTCTCCCCCTACTCTGACTGGGTTTTGACCCCGGACGGAGATCGGACGTCGGGTGTAAGAGTGCAGGGGAGTCGTTTAGTGGGCAGGGCCCTAAAATTCCTTGAGCCCGCCGTCTGCTCCCAACACCTTGCAGATCGTCAAGTCCCACATACCTCGCGCGCCCCGTAGGCGCGGGGACCTCGTAGGAGATTCGGCCCCCGGTCCGGAAAAAAGAAAAAAAAGGTCGCAGACGTTTGGAAATTTACTGTGGGAAACGTGAAGAAAAAACGTAACATTCAAATTCTTGAAACGGAGGTCTGCGAATTAAGACACCCTACATTTTTAGATACATGACCTAAATTTTTTAATTGTTAACTCCCTAAATATCTGCTAAATATCTATTAAAATTAGTACTTACGTAGAAATGTTCATCGCAAATTGGCGAAATAACTGGTTTGGTAAGAGCCTCATTAACTGAGGGCCAAACGTCACAGGGGCCTGGACCACACAGCGTGGGCTTGACAAAGTCTCGATTTACTAATGTGGGAGCTTGAACAGTTAGTTTAATTTCAGTCATATTTGTTGCTGAAAATAACAGGCATAATTTGTTTAAAGGAAGCCAACTATTAGAAATTGCGATAGAAATGATACGCGTAACAACAAACTGCAACTTTAACTGACCATATTAATCAAAGTCACTTTCGTAAGAGTGGCCCAATTTTTCTTTGTGATGTTTATAGAATGTACGATAAAAGCAGGCAAATAACGAGTGAAATTATCACACTCTTTGTGACCGATATTCCGAGCGAGTAACCGTGAAGTTTGGTTACCGGAATCGGGTTAATGTTTAGATTTAGTGCTAATAGGGTGGCCGTAAATTTACTACAATGTTCTGGCGCTATCGGATGGCACATTTGGCAACAAGCAAGTACGCTTCGCCCGAGGCAGGAGTTGCTTGCCAGACTCATATTTGTTCCACACGCTATCGTTAGCTGGTCGCCTGCGGTTTAACAATTGTTTCATACACCGTTACTTTTATTTTAGTAAAATAAACATGCAAAACGATAAACGATAAGAAAGGTCAAAAGTGAACATTCTATTGATATGGAAACGCTTTGTTTCGAAGTTACGCAAGGCTGAGACGTGGAAAGAAGTTTCGAAGCGAACCATGTTGTTTCGAAAAATTGATTCCATTCCCAACGCGACTCGTCGACGCTATAAGGCAATCCCGGTGGACCGGAGACAGGACGAGAGAACAACCCGCCGAGACTCGCAAATAGACCTCGACAACGCTAGCGTCATCTTCGTGCCGGATCGGTCGTGAAATTCAGCTTATAAATATTTATTGCCTTCACACTTACTTATCAATCGTCTCATATTTTAGTATTTCAGACAAAGCAACTTTCACTTACACTTATTTAAAACGCTATTTTAGGTGGATTATGTTTAACAATAAGAATGCAATTTTCGCTTACATGATTTTTAAGATAGCACTCAATACGTTACTCGATTTGAAACATGCGTGTATGTGGTGTGTCGCTCACAAAATACTTAGATACACTGAAGACAACAACACTGTTCGCTTATTGAGGATGTCGATGAATTCGTGACTTCTCGTTATCGGCGAACGGTTTATAGTTTGTTTTATAATACATATTAGTATCATCGTAATAAATAAGATCGAACTGATTCTTATTATTTTAATTTCTCATAAAATTTTCTGTCATCTTGTAAAACTTTTTTACTGGTGGTAGGACCTCTTGTGAGTCCGCACGCGTAATTACCCTGCCTATTTCTGCCGTGAAGCAATAATTCGTTTCGATTTGAATTGTGGGGCAGCCGTTGTAACTATACTAAGACCTTAGAACTCATATCTCAAGGTGGGTGGCGCATTTAACACCAGGTGGGCTGTGAGCTCGTCCACCTATTTTAGCAATAAAAAATAATAATAGCCACTCAGCAAAAATTAAGAAAGCTTGGCTGGGAGGTGCTAATGCATTCGCCGTTTAGTCCTTCCTTCAGATTTCCACCCATTTCGGTCTCTTCAGAATTATTTAGGCAGTGTCAGGTTAACATCACGAGAGGATTGCCAAAACCAATTATAGCGGTATTTTGATCAGAAGCCCCAAAATTTCTATAGCAATGGGATCATGTAGGGACAAGATGCCTACAAGATGACAAAAAGTTATCGAAAAAAATGGTACCTACATACTTTAGTTAAATGTAAGTAAATAAACTATATTAAAAAATGTTTTGTATTTTCTTAAAAAAGGCGAAAAACCTTTTTCCCCAACCTATTATTTCCATAAATATTTAAGGTTTCTCGATATCTCAGTGGACATTGATTTCGAGAATTTTTGTAATTATTATTAAAACGACTAGTGTTAAAGTTAACCGTGATTGACCTAATAGATTCTTAACAGGATTCTTATTAACATTTTAAAGTAGCAGGAAGATGGCGTCCTGCTACTGCTGCTAATAGGGTGGTAATAATGTAGTTCCCATAGAACCACTATAGCCGACAGTTCGCGGTAATTAGATGGTCGTACGATTTATTATTATTGTACCGTTGATGCACTTTTGCAGCGTACTGTACGTACATATTTGTTATCTTAGTATTGGTTATAATAGTTATGATTTAGTTCTGTGAACTAATTAAAAAACAAATAAATGATTCAAATACGCTCACACTATAGTTTAATATTGATTGTTAACATTAGTATTGTAAATTCAATTCAACTCAATTCAATTCAACCCTTTTAAATTACTCTTTTGTCATGGTGCCGCAATTCAAAAAGTATCCTTGCAACCTTCCAAAGGTTTTGGGATACTTGGGATCGATATTTCGAGTGATGTCCAATTTCGGAGTCATTTGGAAGGCAAAGCCAAGTTGGCGTCAAAAATACTGGGAGTCCTCAACAGAGCGAAGCGGTACATAACGCCTGGACAAAGACTTTTGCTTTACAAAGCACAGGTCCGGCCTCGCGTGGAGTACTGCTTCCACCTCTTATTTCATTAGAAAAATTGGTACCCGCCTGCGGGATTCGAACACCGTTGCATCGTTCGACACAAATGCTTCTCATTTAGGCCACGACAACTTCCAGATACTTCCATTTGACTCCATACATAAGAGGGCCGTTTGGATTTGTAATCCCATTCTAACGGATCGTGGGTCTGCGGAGATACTTCGGTTCTATACTACCCTCTGTATTTTGCTCCATGAGGAGTGCTCTGAGGAATTGTTTGAGATGATACCATCATCTTGTTTTTACCATAACACCGCCCGTCACCGGAGTAGAGTTCATCCATACTATCTGGAGCCACTGCGTTCATAGACAGTGTCGTTCCCATTAGGTGGGTCGTAGGTTCGTATATTTCGATTGGTCGTGTGCTCGTCTGCCAATAAAAGCCATAAAAAAGCGGCGATTTAAGAGTCTTCTAAAGAATTATTTTCTTGGATTTTGCAGAATATACGTATGTTTCATTAAAAATCGGACGTACTTATGGTTATTTAAAGTTTTCTGGAATTTACTTTAACACTATTACGTGTTAGAAATTACATAGAAAATAATATATTCGAACTTTGTCTGTCTTCTTTACTCTAATGTAATTCAAAGAAAAATATGAAAACGTTTACTAACGATTCTTTCTTTCTTTTTTTTAATTGCTTAGATGAGTGGACGAGCTCACAGCCCACCTGGTGTTAAGTGGTTACTGGAGCCCATAGACATTTACAACGTAAATGCGCCATGCACCTTGAGATACAAGTTCTAAGGTCTCAGTACAGTTACAACGACTGCCCCACCCTTCAAACCGAAACGCATTACTGCTTCACGGCAGAAATAGGCAGGGAGGTGGTACCTACCCGTGCGGACTCACAATTGGTCTACCACCAGTAAACTACTAACTTACTAACGATTCTCCCAAGGAAATATCAGTAAAAGCCGAAACGAAAGCATATTGAGGTAAGCCTCGGATAAGTTTAGTTCTGATACTTAGCACTCCACCTCACCGCAGCAAATATAAGGGAGCGAAACAAATTTTGAATTAAATCCGTTCCTCTTGACGAGTTAATGTCCCACGAGACTTTTCTCTCGTTTTAATTTCCGGAACGTTTTCGCCGAGGAAATAGTTTGTAGTGCAAACAGCGCTCGCATTATCCTAACTGTGTCAACATGGAAGCGACGCAACAACGATTTACTATAGCGATGACCATAGATAAAGCGGACGGAGTTTAAATGTGACACTATCTATACTAATAATATAAAGAGGAAACATTTGTTTGTTTGTATTGAATAGGCTCCGAAACTACTGAACCGATTTAAAAAATTCTTTCACTGTTGGAAATCTACGTTATCCCTGGGTGACATAGGCTATATTTATTATATTTTCAAAAAAGTTAAGGATCTTTACTGAAACTCCAATAATGTAACCCAATGTGCTAACAAAATTACGTAAAATTCTTTACATCGCGTGCTTTACTTCCCAAGCGAAGCCGGGGCGGGCCGCTAGTTTATAATAAGCGGGGTTCCGGGCCACTCACTATATTCATTGGTAAGTAAATATTTGTTTATTACGTAATTATATTGTAACTCGAATTAAATTTCGAATTTGGTTTACGAAATAGAATTTTCTGGTGCACGCTTAATCCCCTACAAATCCAAGAGCGGTGTGGTTATTTACGTAAATAAATATTTTTTAGTAAATGAAATATGGTAGAGCTTCATTCGCAGGACGTAGAGCTGAGTGCATTAGCCGATTTAAGGCTAGCTCTGTGGCCATTATTTTCACACTTCGTTTGCCAGGCGTCGACGTGGCCTGCTGCCGCTCCTGTACTCGTAACTTCATGGGCCGTAATTCTTGTTTCGCTCGACATTTTATTGTAAATGAAAATAAATGGAATGAAGAACAGTTTTTACATTTGAACGTCTTGCTAAAAACACGTTTTTAATTTGAAGTGCATGAACATGCATATTCGAAATTTAAATCTAAATTTTCTCTAAGTAAAATTAAATTAAAATATGTAATTTCAAGTAGAATTAATGTGTGTAGCATGCATTGCATGCAATCAGCATGATTTTGATATAGATAGGGAACGTAGGGCGTTGATATTAAGATGCAATATGCTGGCCCGCAGATTTACTGGTTACGATAGCTATGCCAACATTTCTATTAAGCTTAATTTTTACGTCTGCTACGATTTTTACGTCATTAGTCTGTGGATCACATATACGTAGAGAGCTTACAATGCCCTATATATTAATTAAAATAATTCATTTAGGATGATGTTGTCACTGTCGCGCTTTTGTAGTGCATCCACAGTGCTTGCGACATGTCACACAGTTGTATGAGGTCTCGCGTTGTAGTAGGTCTCGCGTTGTATGAGGTCCCGCGTTGTATGAGGTCTCGTGTTGTAGTAGGTCTCGCGTTGTATGAGGTCCCGCGTTGTATGACTTCTTTGCAATAACGCGGAAGATAAGTGCATCGTTATTGCTTCGAGTGCGTGGCAACAGTTTTCTGAACATCATATCGAGAGACTGTTCGTTAATACTCGTAACCTTTGCCTTGGGTAAGAGTAATAAATAATCAGAAACTACACAATGTATGCTTTTTACTGAAATAAAGATTTAAAAAAATACTCTAAAGATTGTGTTTGTTGATGTAATGCTGACCACATTTTTGTGTGATATTGATTTTACTAATGCGTGCGGGTTGACAGCGTGCCCTGCGGTCAGAAGTTAGACAGGGATTAAGGTAGAAAAACTAAGTAGGAATATTACGACTACGAAAGAATTATGGGACAACTTATAACAGCACACATTTCGTGAGGCTAATTATTAAACATATATATTTTGCTTTATGTAACACGAGCGACCAACCCTCGCTTCGCTTCGGAAAAATTTAATTTAATTATATTATATTCATATGCATGTATTAAAAAGCGGTTATTACAATATTACACACAGACGATCCAATTTTATTTATATGTATAGATGAATGGCGAGGTAGATCCTGTACTAGTTGATATCGTAGAACTGGTCGAACATGAAGTAATCAAAATATTAAATATTGTCTAACTATGTTTATCGTGGTACATACAGCGGTAGATTTGATAATATGCATCTATAATCTATACATCTATATATATAAATAAAATTGGAGTGTCTGTTTGTAATATTGAAATAGTGTCTTTTTACTACATGCATATGAATATATATACTGTACATATACTAAAATAACATTTTTTACAATTTTTGTCTGTCTGTCTGTCTATCTGTCTGTCTGTCTGTTTGTTCCGGCTAATCTCTGGAACGGCTGGACCGATTTTGATGAGACTTTCACTAATAGGTAGCTGATGATATAAGGAGTAACTTAGGCTACTACTTTTCTTAGACTAGCTTCGCCCCGCGGCTTCACCCGCAGTACTACAATAACCGCGGGTAACATCACGGGACTCAGCTATCAATAATAAAATTTAATGTTTCCGAAGCGAAGCGAGGGCGGGTCGCTAGTTTAAAATATAATTCAAAATA